TCTATTCCTGTGTAAAATATATCTTAAAACTTAGCAACTTAAAACACCTTTTCATTTTCTCACAGAAACTGTTGGTCTGGAATCTGGGAGTAGCTTAGCTGGGTAGTTCTGGCATAAGGTCTCTCATGACATTTCAACCAAGCTGTTATCGTAGCTGCATTCTCATTTGAAATCTTAACTGAGGGAATATCCACTTAAAAATTCACTCATACCATTGTTAGTAGGCCTCAGTTTCATGTTGGCGGTTGGTCAAACAAGAGATTTCAATTCCTCAAATGTGGGCCTCACCATAACCTGAGAAAGTATCTTCAGGGGCAACTGTCTTCCCCCTAAGGGAATGACTAACAATAACAGTGCTAATACTAGTTTAAACAACAAATATGTGAAATCAAACTAAATATGATGATAGAATGTGTTAAGAAGTAACTTTTAGAACTCAGGAAACAAATGGAAGGGAAAATAAAACCATTAAGGAATTGAAAACTTCATTAGTGGTAATATAGAAGCAACTGAAAAGATAAGAATGTAGCTCTCATATTTGTAAAAGTCAAACAAATGAGAAAAAGAATAAAGATATAAAAGCTGTTATAGAGATGATAGAGAAGACTTAAAAAAATATATTGAAAATATGCCTAATTGGTATGAGGAAAACTGAGCAAATAAAGAAGAAATCTTCCTGAAAAGGAAAGTCTTGGGTTACGTGGGTGGCTCATTAAGCACCTAACTCTTGATTTCAGCTTAGGTCATGATCTTGGGGTTGTGAGAACAAACCCTGTGATGGGCTCCACACTCAACAGGGAGTCTGCTTGAGATTCTCTCTCTCCCTCTCCCTCAGCCCTTCTCCCCACCCTCTCTCTAAAATAAATAAATAAATCTAAAACCAAACAAACAAACAAAAAGTCTTGAACTCACCAGTTATACAAAATGTTTAACACCAAGACATATCCAGAAAGATCTTGAAATTCAGAATGAGGAAAGCACCTTACAGAAATCCAGGTATAAAATCCAGTCATTTAGAAGATAGCAGGAGGGGAAGAATGAAGGGGGGGGGAATCGGAGGGGGAGACGAACCATGAGAGACTCTGGACTCTGAAACAAACTGAGGGTTCTAGAGGGGAGGCAGGTGGGGGGATGGGTTAGCCTGGTGATGGGTATTAAGGAGGGCATGTTCTGCATGGAGCACTGGATGTTATACTCAAACATGGAATCATGGAACACTACATCAAAAACTAATGATGTCATGTATGGTGATTAACAGAACAACAACAAAAAAAAATCCAGTCATTTAGGAGTGAGGAGTGAGGGAAGGCAGGCTGGACCCATTACCATGGATAATGTTAAATGTGATCAGAGAATGGAAAAATATCTATAAGCTTTAATGAAAGTAATACTGAACACCTAATTTGATACCTAGCCAAGTTGTCTTTCAGTTGTAAAGACAACAGATATTCTGAACCATGAAGCAAAACAGAAAATGTATAGAGTAAACTTGGGGGAAGTGAGAGAAGGTATGTTAATTTCATCATTCTTTGTAGGAGATAATCAACAGATCACTTTTAAATTGAAACAATTCTCTTCTGAGGAAGGACTTTCTGGAGGTGTGAATCTGATATTTCACAGACAACAACCACTAGTATTATAGGTTTAGCCAACTACAGGTATGTTGTAGTCTGTTCATAAAAAGGCTAATTTTAAGAAAAAAAATCACTCAAAAACATTACTCCTATGAGAAATTAACATTGTGTATGATGGCATCTGCCTGTTACACAAATATCTCAAAGATTTCTACCTTGTTAAATAAAGATTTTGATTTACTGGTTATCAAGATCTTTGTGATGATTATCATATGGTTTTGAAGTCCATCTCCGCAAGTTACAGATTCCATCAAGTTAAAAATTGCAAAATATAAGGACATTGCTTAAAGTAACTCATAGTCTTCACCAATAGATGTAGTGTATGACTGCAGGAGAGTGACTCAATCTGTCTGAGTTTACCTATAATAATACATTCTTGGTATGGAACCTTAAAAATGAATCTCTTTAGAGCTAGAATCATCCTTGATTACCCTTTGCTGGGGACCTGGAAGCTCTACATAGACATGCTCTTCAACCCCTTACAGTGGACTTTATTTCTAAGAGAAAAATGAGAGAGAGAGAGGACAATTGCTTGCTAAAATGCTTTTGGAAGTAACAATTGAACAATAAAGAGATATCTAACAGAGGATGAGAACTCACAACAGAATAAATGTTGTTCAGGCCATTTTCTTATTTTTTCAGTATGTAATTTAGCTTTTCCCAGCCTGACAACCTTTATTTCTCTTGTCCTGTTCTGACAATTTTCAGAACAAAAGATTTAGAACCATAGATCTTTAGTTAAAATCAACTGTTTACTATGTTGCTAATTTTACAGAAGTTTCCTCTCAGAACCTCAGAGTTTTCATCTTTGAATTAAAAATAATTATAATGCTCAGCTCAGAGAATTAAATAATATATATTAAAGTGCTTTAATGTTATAACAAAGTTATGTTATAACAAAGTTGTAATAGTCATATAGTGGCAGTGGTAATCAGATTCTAGATTCCAACAGCCTTGTATTTGTATCCCAGGTTTGCCATGTATTTGCTATATACATTTAGTTCATTAATTTCAGCCTCAGTTTTGTCATCTATACAATGGGGAGATTAATTCTAGTCACATGGCTGTTGTGAGTGTTACATGATACATTGCATATAAATAATTAAGTGTAGTGTCAATAATGTAGTAATTATACCACAAGTATATGTTAGTTGTTATTGTTGTGATTAATTATAATTTATAGAGTACTTGTGATGTCAATCAATCCTCATAATAATATGGTCAGGAGACATTATCAATCACAATTAATAAATGCAGTACAAAGGATAAAAGTAAAAAAAGTATAAAAAAAATAAAAAGGCTAGAAAATGATGGTACTAGAATTTGAACCCAAGTATGTCTGACTCTAAAGCTCAAGAGTTTTGAAATATATAAAAATATAAAATATATTTATTAAATGTTTTTATGCATTATAGGTATTTATAATATTGATTTAAATGATCATAGTTATAATGTGTAAAGACTAGAAGAGATATATTTTCATGACTCCATCATGCAGTTTAACTGTACCTGAGAGTATAAGGTTTCATGTGCTTTTCCACATTTTTATAAATGCATTATGATGCAACAACAAATAGAATATTTTGATAATAATTTTCTCTAGTTATTTTTATTATATTACTTGTTTTTCATTTTTTGAGTAAAAGTTTGTGATAGCAACATCATTTGGTATAGAGAAACACATTTCAGTTATTTTCATGTAATATTTTATTATTTGTAGCTTAAAAAAAGAACTTCAGTTAGATTATCCAGGACTCAAACAAAATACTTGTCAGTGCCTGCTTTGTGAGTGCTCAGTTTTATTGGATGAATATTTGGAGTGCCATGAACACTTTTGTTTTTCTTTGCCCAAAAGAAAATGAATATATATTTAAAGAAAACATATAAATGTACTCTAAACCCATTATTCTAAATATGGAGGTGTATATCTTTTTCAGTAATAATTTGTTAAAGCTTGAGTTTCCTGGGACATTTGTTCTTCTATTTCTTTCCTGATATTTTCTTGTGGTTATCTACAAAGAATGTGAATCTCCAACTGTTTAGTAGAGGCATTAGAAATATGTCTTTCCTAAAATCTTTCCTCTTCATTTTTCTAAGACAGTGGTTTTAAATGAGGACAATCTTGACCCAGGGGACATTCAAGAATCTCTGGAGACATTTTTGATTATACACTTTGGGAAGGTGTGCTGTTGGCATCGAGTAGGTAGGGGCCACAGATGATTATAAACATTTTACAATTCACAGGACAATCCTCACTACAAAGAATATCCCAAAATGCATTTGTGCCAAGGTTGAGAATCTTTATCTAAGGTTACTATATAATCAAATTCATGATCAATAAAAATAAAAGAAAAAATTTTACTTGCTTCTAAATTCACAATTCAAGATGCTAAGGAAGCTAGATACGCATATAATTCTGTGAATTCTTGCACTACTACAAGCTAATAAGACTAATACTGCCTCCAGCACATTTACTCATAATTTCTCCAGCAGAATTATCCTAAAACTCCAGAATTATCCTAAAACTCTTCAAGCTCAAGCCTGTCATCTGAGGCCCAATTTTATTTCTACTTTTCTATAAAATTTTCATTAGTTTAAAATTACCTTTATCATAGGATTTCTCTGAATATTAACGAATTAAATGAGGTAAAATCTAATATCTGGCATATAGTAGGTACTTAATAAGTTTAGGTGTTCTTCCCTCTTGCCTCTTTCTCTTCTGATCTCCTTATTTACATTGTTTACCTGCTGATGAACACTTAATTTTATGCAGTTTTGATATTTTTATTCAGTTATTTGACTTTTTTAAGGACATGTCTCTTTTATTCTTTGAGAATATATTTATTTGCATTACATAATTTATCCTTTACACTCTAGCATTTTTAAGAATAAATAGTGCTTGATTAAATGAGTGAAGAAATGAATGGACAGAGAATACATGAGGACCAATGTTTTCATATCTGTAGTTCCCAAGTAGCAACACAATAGTAATTCATGACTTTTTATTTATTGTATATTATTTTTAACATTCTAAGAGTTTTACTAATATTTAGGTTTTTTTAAGATTTTGTTTATTTATTTGATGGAGAGAGAGCACACGTAGGGGGAGTGGCAGGCAGAGGGTGTACAACACCAACGTTTGAGATATTTGTTTTTTTCATATTTTTAAAAGAAATCTTAGTCAATTAAAAAATTCTGGGTAGGTCTCTAATTTACTGAAATAAAGTAATTTGCTTGTTGTTACTTTCTTTTGGTAATATGCCTGTTGAGTAAAAGGAAAAAGAAAAATTTTAAATATGAAAATAATGGAGAAAAAGTTTCGATATTTTTAGAAATTTTAAAGTGTGTCCTTTTTGGTCCTTACAGAAAGTGTGGACTATGGGCCAGTGTTTGTACAAGAACCAGATGATATAATTTTCCCGACTGATTCTGATGAAAAGAAAGTAGCATTGAATTGTGAAGCTCGTGGCAACCCAGTTTCCAGTTACAGGTAAAAGTTCACTGCTAATCATTTTTCTCAAGTCTAAAAATTCCCTTCAATGAGATTCTGACATTCCCAGGGAGTATTATAATACCTCAAGTAACTTTTACATATTTGTCTTCTGATTTTTCCAAAGATGGCTTCGAAATGGAACAGAAATAGATTTGGAAAGTGATTATCGCTACAGTTTGATAGACGGGACCCTCATTATAAGCAATCCAAGTGAGGCAAAGGATTCTGGTCATTATCAGTGTTTGGCAGCCAATACTTTTGGAAGTATTCTTAGTAGAGAAGCCATACTTCAATTTGCCTGTGAGTAAAGTATATATTTTCTTCATGTATCTGTATATAGTATGTATACATATAATTTTACAGTTTGGTAAAAGCTTAATTAAGACTCCAAATTTTAATATAGTGGTAAAATCTTGGTAAAGATTAGAACTATATAAACAATGTGTTCCTTTCTAAGATACTTTGAAACTCCCTGACATGTTTGCCCTCTTCAAATAAACCCAACATACTAATCTGGGAGGTTAAAAATACTATTCATGAATTCTTTCCCTCCACATTTTAAAACATCTACTTATCTGCTTTTACTTTTCTACTGTTTATTGTAGTCAAAATTTGCTATAGATTCTTTTGGGCATAAGATCATATATTCTAAAAATTCTGCTTAGTCAGGAAACTAAAGAAACGCCTCTGAAATGCTAATGTTTCAGATTCCAACTGTAATTTTTCACCCAGATGCCCCAATTTTTTAATTAGAAAAAAGATACATACATATAATCAAACATATATACTAGAATCTATATTTTCTAAAATAGATCATTTATCTAATTAACTATGTGTATTGAGTTCTTAAAACTTGTGAAATTATTTAACTTATGATGAAGACTTACACCAAATTGAGGATAGGCTACTGAGTAAAAAAAAAAAAAACACAAAACAAACAGTATCATTCCTCAGTAAAGAATCCTACTTGAATATAAATTCTTGAGGATTACAATATCTAAAAAATAGGAGGGTAGGAATCTTTGTGTTAATAATTTAAATGTTACTTATATTGGGTATATAATTTATCACAAAATGATTTTTAATTTAAAATTACATCCTGAAGAATGAAATAATTGATTTTTCTCTATATAATCTTCATCACGTATTATTTCTAATTAGCCCAGAATCCAGACATCCTATTATAGGAGTGTGAAAGAAAAAGGAAAGAATAAAGGAATGATAATGGATTCAGAGCTAGGTCCCAGAAAAATCTAAATATTATCTTTTAAAATAAATTTGGCTAAGGAGTTCAGGCAGGACTCTACATACACCAAACATACCAAGATAGTAACCTGAATATACTCCTTTTATTTTAGAAAATATTATGTGGTGTAACACAGAACCTAATACTTTTCATCATGCACATTAAAAGAGTAACCTAATAAACAAACAGCCCTCCTAATGGCTCCTCTGTAGAGTAGTCTTTTCAAGACAGAGACAACAAATCCATGGGGCACCTGGGTGGCTCAGATGGTTAAGCGTCTGCCTTCGGCTCGGGTCATGATCCCAGGATCTTGGGATCGAGTCCCACATCAGGCTCCCTGCTCAGCGGGGAGCCTGCTTTTCCCTCTGCCTCTCTCTCTCTGTCTCTTATGAATGGATGCATAAAATTAAAAAAAAAAAAAAAAAAAGACAGAGACAGAGACAGCAAATCCAGAGAATATGATGTATGAATACAAAGTGGCCTATACCTTTCTCTTCGGTCTATACTATCTGACACAAGTACACCAATTCATAATAGCTTATATATCAATTGTTCTCCTCCAAATCACCAGTGGAGACAAAATATGCAAAGTTTTCTGTATGCTTCAGAGCAAAAATCTACTTACTGGAAGATCCAATGTGACTGTGTGACTGTGTCATCCTAGAATTTCTGCAAAGACCATTCACAATGATCAGATACTCACCCCCACCTGCAGTGAGCACATTGGCACCCCAGCAGTTACAGTTCAATGACTAGGCAAGGAAAGCCCTATCTTACTTATTCCATATCAAGTATCCTAAACTTAGACTAGAGCAATTTGCTTTATTTTTAACTTAACATAAGGGTTAATATATATATGCATTCATTGGTGGCATCTTATGACCCTGCCTTTCCCCATCCCCACCCCACCTGACTCAACTGTGTTCTGAAGGCCATATATATACATAAGAGCGCATAATGTGCCAGGTTGAAGCAGTCACTTACATAGGGAAGGCCACTTCTGCCTCAAAATTACTCCGTCACCTAGATGCCATTATGTCCGTTTGATAAAATTAGAAAATTAAGTCCTTTAGGTTTAGCTCTGTCTTTTTTCCAGAACATCTTTGGGGGGGGGGGTTGCAAATAAATATAGGTGGTAGAGAGGAGAATGAAGACTCCACCAACTTGCTTTCTAGTGTACTTGGATATGAGCATGGGTATTATGGGATTCTAGGAGTCAAGGTACTTTTGTGATTGGAAGAAAATTGAGCTAGGAACTTGGAAAGAAAAAAAGAAGCTTCTAAAAGGAAGTGAAAGGATACAAAGGTAAGATAAGATTAAAAACTTGGTGGCAACTTTCCTTTACATCATGATTTTCTATGTCTAGCTTCATAGCTAGATAGATAATGTACTCACTACTTATTGTTTATAGAATGTTTAATGTTTAAAGGGTTTTTGCAGGTAGAGGAATGTTCATCACTCTTTATACGTTTTAAAGCTGAAATCATTAATCTTTTTTACCTATCAGCCACTATTTATATAAAAATTTAAATATACAACTAGTATTTTAAAACTTTTTTTCAGCCATGGGAAAAAATAAAACTAATACATTTAATAAATTTAAATAATTATCAAAACCTATGTAATCAAATTAAATATTCAAATCTAATACATAAGTCTGTTAAACATTTTAAATGTCATAAAATTAGGCAAAAGTTACAAATTATCAAATTGATTACAAAATTTTTATTCATACTTATAAGTAAACTGTCTTGTACTTATTCTTGAGGTATACTTTTATGCTTTACTCAGTTTTTGTTATATAAATATTTTTACCTTTTATACATCAGTTTCATCATATATAACCCACAAATTCATCAGATATGTCTTCTACACTGTGTAGTTCTATTGTGATCTTCTAAAATGATCCTTTCTAAGGAGCCTCATATTACCTAATCTGGAGTTCATGTCTGAGTTGTAAGTCAATCCAATTTTGGTTGCCCCTTTCAAATGTGAGACCTGTTTAACAGATGTGTCCTCTTTTATAATTTGAACATTATTTTTGTTATATCAATAACACTTTAAATCTATAGCTTTCACATAGGCTTTACCTTTTGGAATATGACATATTTGCTTAAAATGATGTGATTCTAAGACTTATTGGACAGTGTTAAATAAATGCCAGGGGAGTCTCCCCTAATTATATTCATGGAAAAAGTACTAATCTATATTATATAAATATATCATATTTAATTGAAGACTCAAGATGTCCATATAGTAACAATCCTATTACCAATAAAGAAAATAAAATTTAAACATATCCTATTAGAGTCACTTTACTTTTTGCTTGGAAATTACATATGTATATTATACACATATGCATCATATTAAACTTTCTGTTTCTGAGTATTAGAATCATGAGATTTTGCAGATTCAACTTAGTTATATATATGCAAACTGTCACAATTTGGCCATTGGGACTCACTTAATGTTAGCTTCTTTGTCCTCTTATTAACCAGAACTTTATAAATATATTTTTAAAGATTTATTTATTTATATTAGAGAGAGAGCATGAGCAGGGCGAGGGGCAGAGGGAGAGAGAGAGAGAGAGAGAATCCTCAGGCAGACTCCCCGCTGAACATGGAGCCTGATGGCAGGGCTTGATCCTAGGATCTTGAGATCATGACCTAAGCCAAAATCAAGAGATGGACACTCAACTGATGAAGCTACCCAAGCACCCCAACCAGAAATATATTTTAAAATATTCTAACTTTCCATTAATAATATTTTGATCCCCTACCCACATCCCAAGTCAATCAAGTTCAGCTACTTTTCATTGACCACAATGCACAATTTTACGGGAGGCTAAAATCTAGACTCTAGAGGTGCATATAAGACTATTCCAAAAAAAACAAAAAACAAAAAAGACTGTTCCAAATAAGTTATGATAATGGGTAGGAAGACAGTATTACTAAACCATTTTAGTAAAATAGACTTTAAAAAGAACATCCTTTTTTTAGGGCCTCAAGTAGCTTATATCCATTGAACAATTTTATGTGGCAGTACTCCAAGTGTTTTAAAATACATTAACTCATTTCATCCTCATAACCAACATATGAGTTGTTATGTTATAAAACATAAATCCAGGGGCTCCTGGGTGGCTCAGTCAGTTAAGCGTCCACCTTTGGCTTGGGTCGTGATCTCTGTCCTGGGATGGAACTCCATGTCAGGCTGCCTGCTCAGCGGGAAGTCTGCTTCTCCCTCTCCCTCTGCTCCTTCCCCCTCTCTTGCTCTCTCTCTCTCTCTCAAATATAAATTTAAACAAACAAACAAAAACACACAAATCCAGGAGAGCCTGGGTGGCTCAATTGGTTAAGCGTCTGACTCTTGATTTCAGCTCAGGTCATGATCTCAGGATCCTGAGATCTAACCCTGCATCAGGCTCCCAGCTCAGTGGGGAGTCTGCTTGTCTCCCTCTACTTCTGCCCCTCGCCCTGCTTGCACTCTCCCTGTCTCATTCTTAAATAAATAAATATATCTTTAAAATTTTTTTTAAATATTTTATTTATTTATTCATGAGAGAGAGAGAGAGAGAAGCAGAGGGAGAAGCAGGCTCCCAAGGAGCAGGGAGCCCGATGCGGGACTCGATCCCAGGACTCTGGGATCATGACCTGAGCCGAAGGCAGATGCTTAAACGTCTGAGCACCCAGGAGCCCCAATAAATATATTTTTAAAAATAAATAAATAAAATGTAAATCCATTTTGTAGATGATAACTCTTATTTAACTCTAATAGTACTCAATCTTTCTCTATTCTAATATAAATATGTATTGTATTCACTTTGATATACTCTTTGATTTTCAACTTCTCTCTCAAACTCTAATTATATTGTAATTTCTCAAAAGTTTTTATATATTTGCTTCATCAACCTCCATTTTATAATCACTTTATTAACATCAATATGATATAACAAAAATAAATATTAGCAACAAAAATAAGTATGTAATCATTCTGCATTTCTTATTGTTCAAATTTAGTTAATGAGCCACTTGCCAATTTTTCTTATGGAAGTTTA